ATTAAACACCTCTGTCTAAAACACACTCAGCTCATGTCAGAAAGCCCGGGTAACTTCAAATCCATCTATCAAAACGGTATCAAACTGTGTTTTTCTAACAAAGCAATGTTATATGACATGTATTCTCCCCTACAGCTGTAGGTGAGCAAGTGGATCATAAATCATAGCAGACAAAGCTCAGCTTGACCTCTAAACGGTTGTATATCAGGCTATTCTGATTCAGTGCGGATGTCTTTTGGCCTCAATAGGTATACTTACTTTATTTCAGCTTTGAACAATGCCGACTTAATCCCAGAGGGCTGATTCTGCATAACAAACAATCTCTGGTTTTGTCCAACGGCTCTTTCTGTACTTTTCAGACCGACCTGAGAAGAGAGATTGTGCTGCACCATTTCTCAAGTCCTACAGTCAACATTATGATACAGTTTTTGGATTTAATTGAGCTCATGACTGATTTATAGCAAACTTGTACTTAATTTGCAATATTTGTTGTTGGCATAAAAATATCTGCGTTATGCTCGACATGCTAAAATAGCCACAGTGGATACATTAATTGTGAAAAACAGATTTCTTGGGGAATGTAAGGATGCAGTGATGGAGGTCGCCGTTTGAGGGACTTTGCCCAAGCACAGCATTTTTCCTTTGTGTTAATTAGACTCCCAGTCATTTTGGCTGCGAGGCTGGTTTTTCTGTGAAATAATGTCTTTGATTAAAAGATCCAGCACTCATGAGGAACACTGTGTGATAAAGCCACGATCAGTTGGGGGACCCCCCAGCTCTCTAAAAGCAAACTCCCCCTCTTTTTCACTTCTTCCCCCAGACTAGAGAGAAGAGGGAGAGAACAAAGTTGCCTGAAGTAGCCGTGCTGCTCATTTCAGAAGCAGCCTCGCCACTTTGACTCATTTAGGAAGATGAAAGAACGTTACTGTAATATTTGAAACGGCGGCCACCACAACATGAGAGCGTTTCAGAGAGAAGTTCTGTGGGACATTCTGTATAAGAACATGCTGGCTGGATCATGAAATGCAGTACAATAAGAAAAGCCAACGCTGTCACAGACCCGTCTTAGGCGGGGAAGACTCAGGCCTTTTCTCAGAACTGTAGGTCACAGTCAGAGGGCCCGGCTGAATAATTGATCAATCAATGTGCAGTGAAAACAGAAACACAGCTTAGCACTATATTTCCCCTCTCCCCCTGTAATGTGCATTGAATCCCACAGATCCATCAGCTACATGCAAAGCTCGGCTGAGCTGAAAGGCCTCCAAGTTCACTTCAATTATTCAGCATCCCTCCAAGATTATGAATTATTGAGCTAAAAGTATGTTCCATATACGGCCATGTACCATAGCTTGCTGTAGACAGCACCCACTCTGTAGATGTGTGGGAGATCTGAGTTTGTGTGAAACAGCATGCAGACAGTAACTATTAACGCTCCTGACAGTTGTAACTGAGCTAGACCGGGTTGCCATATTTAAGTGGCTGAATTAAGGAATTATGAAAGCAAGAAGACTGTTATGAACAGAGCTGTAAGGGATGTCTTTTATCGTTTTAATTGAAAGCCTTTATTGATATTTTTAAATAAAGCTTTGAATGTCAGGAATAAACATTACATCACGAGATGGCGTCATCAACACACACCAAAACATTCAATAAAATGAATAAGTCTTTTTGAATTAAAATACATTTTCTTAAAATGAATGTCACTTGTAAGTTTCGTCCACATTTATACGTGTAGGTGAGCGATGTTGCTTGCTGTAGTTGTGAGTTTTTAAATACTTACTCGAAAAACTGCCCTAACTGGAATCTTATTCTACAAATGGCATAATACTAATAATATTAATGAAATAAGCTTCAAACTATTTGGCATAGCCCTAGTTTGCAGTGTCAGCCATTACAGTTTAACGGGGGGACCAGGCATAAGGTAGCTCCACACATTCTTATTTATTTAATGAGGTAAGCAGTATTCAAATAGTAGCTCCATAAGTAGACTATTAATTGTTTCTTCCACACCTTGGCAAAGTTTTGGGCTCACGAGTCTGTTTTCTCTTTGGGGTTGAGAGTTGTTTAGTTTTAGCTGCCATCTGCTGACAGCTTGCACAGCCAGCTTCGGTCCAATCGCCCTCTCTGATGGTATGAATTTTGCCCAGGCCTCTGATGAAGACTTGGGGTTCGCTTTTCTTGGCTAGAGTGGAGGAGGAAACAGATGATACAATTAATTATCAATAGGTCCCTCAGTAAATCAAAGCCATTTTGGCAGCCTATAACAAAAAACCCACTGAACTGCCTGCGAGTCTTCGCCATCTCTTCATTGCCCATTCTCAACAACTGCTCTCTGGCCGCCTGCCTCCAGTACAATCCACAAGGTGTTTGAATAGATTGTTCAAATATTTTTACTGTTGATTCTTTCTCTCTTGTTCTGAATATGAAGGCAGTTTTCTGTGTGGAAGAGTGGAGAACCACTTGACTGAGTGCATTCAGCTCTCCTGCCCATCACCGATGCTCTAATGAGCGTTGGCTGTGTCCGAGGCAGGGAGGCAGGGAGGCTGATAGCAGCTCATTATCTCGCTGCCCATGCTGGCCTCTGTATTCCTGTTTGTGGCCTCTTCTCTTCTTATTACCGGGTAAACATTTACCCAGCGGAGACGGGGCTTGACCATTAGGCGCAGGGGGAGCTGTGGTAATGGAAAGAGTGCCCACTGGAGTTCTGCCCACCACCCTTCGCAACAGAATAACTCACTCACGCTTACTTTGGCATGAACCTTTTATTGGAATTTACAACTGTCTGGGGAGTGTTCCTCTGCAGAGGTTGAACTATGGCTTTGGCCTTACAAAGCAAAGGCCATTAAGCATGGTTTTTACAAGCCTAAGAAACCGAGATGTGCTTCATGGACAAGCCATGAATTTGAAAACTGCCGAGGAAAATGTGTTCACCGCGTTGTAAAACACAAAGCAGCGTCCACCTTTGCCACAGTAGCGTTGGTGGTCATTAGTAAGGACATTATGCTGCTTTTATTGTGAAAGAGATCCCCTGAGTCTGTTTCACGAGCAGGGTCTGTGGTGAAAGCTGACACGGGAGAAAACAGAGAGCTGATTAAAAAAAGTCTCAGTTGTATGTGCAAGTATTTGTGCTGATGTGTATCACTGTTTCTCCTGTGGTTTACCGCTATGTGAGCGCGCCGCTAACTGGTGAGCAAGTGGCCGTTTTATAGGCGAAGACTGTTTTCATCAGCTCCCCTGCTGTTTGTTGGAAAAGCAACACATGTGATAGTGATGGAGTGTGTGCAGTCCTTCATCCTTATATTAGGGACTCTAGGGGGAGGAGTGGGGTGAGCTCTCTGGGGTAAGAGGGGCTCATTAGGCAGCCACTGCCTCCCCCCAACCCAGCTGGGTCTGAGTGCCAGCAGACTGGGCAGCCATCTCTCTCTTCATCCCTCTCCTCTCTCCCTCTTTATCAGTCTGCTTACACACACTGAACTGCCTTGTTTTTCATATTCACATTAGAGTATTAACTTGATTAATATCTAGCAAATATACCTGTACGATGGATAGTATACTTAAAATGATCAGTTAGTAAGAAGGAAAACAAACATAATAAAAGATGTCACCTGAAAGTGACAGATAATTAAACAGATGAATTATCTCTTTTTGTAAGACATCCAAATACAATGTGGATGAGGGAACATACAATGTATTGTTTTGAGTTCTCTTTGCTTCCCGTCACACTCACCATTAGGATGCAGCCACTCCCAGGGCAAGTGTATGGAATTCATTCTCAAAGAGCTTCTCATGAAACTCCTGGTCACACGCTTGTTAGTGCTCTGATGAGCCATTGTGCCTCCCTTCATGTTCTGGTAATTATACACTCAATTAGCAGCCTCTTTGTGTCTGTTGCCTTAAAGCTAATATTTTATTATTGATGTCCTCGCTATTAGAGCTTAGGTGCACAATCTTTTGGCTTCTTTGTTCTGAGTGAATTAAAACACTATGGTTGTGATGCGATAGACTGTCCTTCATCCAGAGGGTCTGAGTTCAGGCCCCCATGACAGACAACATCCATCGTTTTGAAGTGTCCTTGAGCAAATGAGTAAATCTTTAGCTGCCCCGGCCGAGCTGCTCTGTGGCTGACCCTCTACCTTGACCACTCCACAGGGGGGTGGAAAGCAAACAGATTGACTTCTTATATCATACGACAATGCAGTTTAATCTTGAATAGATGTGAAAAGTGGAAAAATACTGTTAGTTCATTTGTAGCCTTCAAAGAAAAAAAACCTTACCAGAAATTATGCTTTATGCAGCAGTTGTAATGCTAGGGGGGTCTGCTCAAATTACTGCCTTCCACTTTCCAAGGCTGTGGACAGCCGGTCTTCAAATTTAGGCTGCTAAGCAGGAGAGTCAAATTGGAATTCCGATTCTATTAAGAAGTCATGCCCAGCAGCAAATAATGCCAAATGGGCCCAGTGCAATGGGAACGAACACCATTATAGAGCAGAAATATTAAAGCACTGCTGATCTATTTGCTGAAGATAAACTTAGCATATGTCTCCCAGTGCTGTCTGGCCAGGGCCTGCAACAACGAAGACGTCTCGTTTGGAACTTGATTAAAAAGACACGTTAAGATCAAAGTGGAGCGGCTCTCCATCTCCGCAGATGTGATGAAATCTTTTACCGCGAGGAAGAATAATACATTTCTTTGATAATAGCTGTGCAACATGAAACAATGCATAGTCTGTTTCAGCAGTTTTATAATTAACAAGAGTCTGCGATGGAAATGTGGCCAGTTGTTGTATTAAGTATGGGTACTAGGCACTATCTGGGTATGTTGTTGGTGCCATTGTGTTCACTGTATTTTCAAGGGAGACACAGCAAAGCCATCATATTACCACCTGCAAGGAGATGTCCAAGCATCCCAATGCTATGTCTATTATGTTCCCTATATGCAGCTCTTCTGTCTGTCAATTTCTCATTTAAAGCTGTTTGCCTCCTGACAGTTCATCAGGGTCTCATCTCCGGGCCAGGGGTGAGCCATCATCAGACCACATCAGGCATGGAGAGGCAATCACAGCTGGGCCTTTTTTAGTCATGGTGTGCTCTCCCAATGACAAGCCCACTGGCTGTGTGTTGGTTCTGGGTGCGTTTGTCTTCCCACCTCCGCCGTGGAACTTCTCCAAGTGCACAGATAGAGTCGGGGTGGAGACAGGCGGCGAGTCAGACACATCGTGGTTGTTCATCTGTAACGGTAACCAAGCAGTGTATCACACCAGCCCAGTAGACTATCAGCATGCGCCATGCTGAGAGATATACCTGAGGACTGTCATACTGTCTGCAAAGCAGCCTGACACCAGGACCCACAGATGGCTCATTCTGAGTATCACAGACTGCTCTATCATTGCCTTTGTCAGAGAGATACACTACAGCTACAGTTTATTGCCCTGCAGATCTGGTCAATCATGTAGAGAGCTGAAAATATACAAAGGATGGCTATCAATGGCCTCTGGATGTGTGGGATGCAGGGAATGATTTACACCGTGACATACAATATTTCTGCATGTATTTCCCTCCCAAGTGTGTTTGCTACTTCCAGTTATCTGTAATCACATTGAAAGCCATTCCATTTATATGTATAACCTGTGGAGAGATTTGAAAGAAATACCTTAATATAGTTGTTAGGAAGAACTGAAAAGGTTTGGGGCACTTATTTTAATGTTGAACCGCTAATTCCAGTTGACCTGACAATGTGTTTGCCTGATATCGGCACTTTATACGTTACCATGAACAAAGATATAAGCGGATATAGGGAAATTGTTGCTCAGTGGTTAGTGCGCTGATTTTCGGATCACAGGGGCACTGGTTCGAATCCCGCTGCAGTCAACATTCCATTCAACCCCAAAATTGTTCCTGTGGGGATTGCCCACAGTATTGAATGCATGTAAGTCGCTTTGGATAAAAGCGTCTAACAAGTGACAAGTGACATGTAATTAATAAGCCCGCTGCCATCTGAACCTCCAGGCCTGAAAGGTTTGATTATAAAAAAGTGAAGTTGTAAATGTCTTAAATGTTGTTTGAGTGAAAATGTGGATGGTGTCAGTAGCTGTTTTTAATGCAGTAAAGCAGTATTAATTAGAAATGTATAAAATAACCTTCTTAAAAAAAAACTGGAGTAGTAGTCTGATTTAACAAGATTTGATGTAATGTAAATGTGATTTACCATTACGGTAAGATCTATCATTTATACTCCCTGTAACAGAAGAGTTGTAGAGCTGAGTCAAACAGGGAGGCAGTAGCTGGCGGCTACGTGTTTTTGCTGGCAGACCGATCTATCTGGGGCATCGTGGTGTAAAGGAATATTCTCTAAACTGGCTTATTCATGGCAACGGGGTATCAAAGGTTTTTTGTGAACAGCTAAAGTCAAGTAAAAATAGTTTAAGAGTAGTTTTAGCCGGGTATGGCTGAGGATTGCATTGGGTTGTCTGTGTGTCGACTGCTGTACAGGTGTGTGTTCCTTGTTCCTTACCAGGTGCCGTGAGAGGATGGACAGAGTTGAGGGAAAAACACAAAGTTGAAAAATTGCTCTGGTTGGTTGTTATATTGAAACTGAATTTAATTGATATTATCTGATACTATGATGAATAACAGACTAGCACTGTGAGGGAGAATGCTCTGACTTGCCTAGTATTTAGCTGTAGTGTTCTGGTAGCATGTTAAGACTCAACATGTGTTAAGAAACAGCTCAGTTTCAGACTGAATAAAAATGTGTCTAAAGAAATACTTGTCTCAGTATGTTTGTAACCATTGCTCATTTTATTAGTTTAAGGTCCATAAAAAATAGAATTGAAATATTCAGATGGCATGAATGCTCACTGAATTGTTGAATTGTATTGAAAATATTCTACATGAAAGATTTGTATTATAATAATTTGTATTGTGTTTCTAATTTATTATCAAAACATATAATGATGTCATTTTTAAAGCATTTTCTGTTAAAACTGTGTATTTACTGCAAAAGGATTATTTTAACCTAGAGTATTGCAGGAGCTTTTAAATGGGACCTAACGAAATCATAATTTAATTGGTCAGTAATCCAGACAGGTAACGTTGCTGTTACATCTTTTCTCAATACGTCTATTCTCATAAAAACCTGCAATGGTAATTGAGTAAACTTAGACACTAAATAATGTCATTTCCCAGCCGAGAGACACTTCCAAACAGAGTTCCACTTTCAGAAGCCACCCATTACTTGTGGAGTGACTTCTTTGTGTAGGTACCTGGGCTCCGGGTTTATTTTTACCCTCCCTACGTCCCTCCTCATTCTTTAGCAGCTTCAGGAGATGGCGTTAGTTTGGCTTCATCTCTGACAAAAGATAAATGAGCTCTGGGTCTGTGGTGATCCACTATGGCTGCCAGGGGGTTCCAAAATAGCAAACTATTTTTCATATGGGGCGAAGTGATATGGAGTGCGATGCAGCAGGCGCTAACATTTACCATATCATAGTATGCAGGAATACATGTTATTCTTTCTATTTTGTTACTTTTACTTTCAACTTTCTGTTTATATTATATTAGGGGTGAGAACTGTGGCAATTAAAATGTATGCAGTTGGTGCTGAGAGCCTGCTTACAATGTTTTTTTTACTAGGGTGTAAAAAGAAAAATCATCACTAAAGAACAAATTAAGTGATTATCTGGTTAAAAACTCAGCATTGTTTTAAAATACCCTTTAATGAATAGTTCAAACACAAAAAGTTCTTCTTTCCTCTGGTCTCAGCATTCATGTGATATTCTTTTTCTCCTACACTTGTAACAATGTGTAGTAATTAGAGTGGATTTGCAGAGCAGCGCTGTTGCTTTGATAGAATCTCAAAATTGGTCATTAATCACCTTCTCACCACGAGGCAGAAAAACAACAGTGATGTGATTTCACAGGGAAAAAAATGTCCCGTGTCAACAGGAGATCCACCAGCGCTTGCTATCAGCTGAAAGAAACTTTCCCATTTAAATGAGGAGCTACAGAGCTTCCGAGGCTCTTTGAAGAGATGTGCTTGGCACAAACAAGAGCGGCAGCCTCTCCTGTGTTTCTAACAGCCGAAACATCGCTGACACCTGATGGGTGATCAAACACAAGCCATCTCTCCCTGGATCCTCATGGGGGCTCATCTTTGTACTCCTCGCTGCAGATACACCTGCAGACCACGCTGCTGGGACACCCCTCCACTCAATATTTACCAAAGGCTCCATCACCTGACTGGATGCACTGTATTTGTAAAGGCAAATACATTTGTTGGTTTTGCAGCATTTGCACTCTCTGACGACAAACCTGTCAGTGCTTTGGATATAAAGCCACCCACAATGTTTCTAAGCCCACTATAGATTCCCCCCCCCCCCCCAATATTCTGAAGGGATGAGTTGTTGGCTAAATCACCTCGGGGTAGGAACAAGTCTTGATGCCTCATGGGAGCACAGAGGGTTTGTGGGATGAACTCTTATTAGTGTTCACAGAGAGGTCACAGTTATTCCTGTGAGTGGGACTCAAGTTTTCCTTCCTCATCCATGTCTCAGTTATTTTCCTTAATGATCCGTCCGTGGTGCGCTGCGTGCATACTCGTTAGAGCTGTATTAGCATGAGTGTTACAGGAGCAGGCGATCACACAAAGTTACACTGGCCACACAGGAGATGTGCTCTGTGAGAGCCTTTCCTTGTCACCAAGGTGAGATGATTTATGATTTATTTTCCAATAACTCCCAGCCTGCTCTGTGCACTGGGCCCTCCTGTCAACAATCAGTGGGCACGAGTATCCCCCTGCACCTTCCCTCTCACATCCACAGCAGCTTCCTCCTTCCTCTGTCAAGCCAAATTGGAAAGAGTCTTTCCACAGATACTAATACAGCTTATTTGTACACGTGTATGTCTGGTAATTGGAACAGGGGAAGTGGCGAAATTACAAACCCATGAATGACAGAGCTCCAGCGGTGTTGGATGCAGTTGGTGGCTGGCAAGCTCTGAACACCTGGGCCTCAAGGCAGATGGTGAGGGTTGAAGGGTTACATAACACCAGGCTAAGCCATATGTCTCCCAACCACACAGAACCTTTAGGAAACCCATAATACGCCTCCAAATGCAGACTGTGTGAGACCAGAGGGCAAATGTTCTGCTCCCTGATCCCAGACCAGGTGTTGAGAGCATTGCTTCGCTGTGCGTCTGTTGTGAACATTGGCAGTAAAACAGCTAATAGTTGGATGTCGGTGTATAATAAAGGTAATGATCGTGTATAAAGGACATTGCCAGGTCTAATGTCCAGAGGGCTATAGCCTTGTAAACAGTGACCGAAACAGCTTGGTTAGATATTGTCGAGGATATATCACTAACTCAAGTCTGATACTGTTATTGTGAGGATAAAGCTCACATGGAACTTAACCCGGGCAGTAGATTTTGTCCAGGCTAATTTCCGTTTCTGTAAATGCCTTTTAAACATTCAGTACTGTTTACAGAAGTAAAAAGAAAAGCTGAGAAGGTCTGTTTGAGAAAAAAAAAACCTTAAGCATTCTCCTGGCTTCTCCTCACCTTATTCTCAACTAATTATCCATGGTAGATTTCCTCATTGTGATACAAATGCTTGACAATGCAAGGCTTAAAGATACAAATACAGAGGCAAGCGTACTATATCTCACACACAAACACTTCCCAAGTGACATTTGAGACATTTTGGGACGGTTATAATGCAGACAGAGATGAAGCATCCAGAGGAGATTAGCGAGCTAAATGGGAAACAAAAGACGGTGCAGCGGGACAGGAGGATATGATTCTTCATTGTGTTAATCACAGCGGAACAGCCCTGTCGTCTTCACCAAACAATGCCATGGTGATGCTAATGGCACTGCCAACCATGACTAAAAGTGCACTCCAAATGATTGATAGCCAGAATTATATCAAGGTGACTTTCAGTCAGCTCCGTCAGATTGTTTAGTTTGATCGATAATAATAACCAACGCATTGTAACATAGACATGTCTGCCACACAGACTCATTCATCAGCTTGTAGTCATTATCGTACTCTTTAATTTTTGTTTTACATAAAGAAATATGTAATCCTTGTCTGTCAGAGGCATGCAGTTGTGTGCATTAGGTTAGAGATGGGCCGATAAGGATTTTATTACGAATTCCGAAACATATGAGTTGATTGTGGTCAATTTCCATTATCATGTATATTGCGAATATTCCCACAAAACTATTAAGGA